AAAGTTAATCATTTGTACCAGCAAATAAGAAGAAAGTACAACTATATGAATCTGATGTGGTTGTTCCTTGGTATAGAACATTCTTTCCTCAGTAAAAGTATTTGTTGACATCAGAGTCTCTATACTGAAACTATACTGATACTTATTTTACATACATGCATCTGTATATTACCTATATACTAAAGACAATTGGATTTAAATATACATTAGTCAACTTTAGGCAAAAAATGAACAGTCAGACACTGGAGATAATAAGAAATATCTCATGCCACTGTAACAGCTCAACCAAGAGTGTGAGCACGTAACTGGCCTCTCCAGCCATGCACAGAACCGCGCAGTCTCAACTATCATGAATCATCAACATGAACAACATTCAAATTTGTTAAGGTGGATGACACAAAAAATACAATTCATGATCAGCTAACATCTTCAGGACACTGAATTCTAAAATTGCACATAGTATACTCGATGAGGGGATACATTTAACGCCTTGATGCTAACTGGGCTTTCATTGTTTGGATTTCTTCTGCTAGACCCCTGTCTAATGGAGCACATTTTTTCAGAACCAGGGTCAGGTCCTCCTCATTCTTCTGCTGAAATGCTGTAACAGCGGCTTGTTTAAAATCACTGTTGGAAAATAAAAGACAATTATTTCCTATGTCTTCCATTTAAAGAAGAATAGCAGTATAAGATACTGTGTTAGTGACCAGTTTATTAGGTTTAGAAAACATCATATGTGAATTTAAATACTAAAACAAATCACTGACAAACAATCATCAAACTCAGAACAACCAATACTAGGCAGGTACACTCTACTGAAGAGTCAACTCAGTGAGAGAAGTACTGCTAGGCCTGCGGCCAGGAGAACATGCGACACCCGGTGTACCCTCTTAACTGATTTTGTATGGATCATAAGTCAAAATGGAATCCCCCAGAAAAATCAAGTTAGTTGGCTTGTTGAGGAGGTCAGTTTTCAAGAAGAAAAAAAAATTGTATGTGACTGTACAGGTGACATGCGGAACAAACAAAAATGCTGTGGCTTCTGATATTTGTTGTTGTTACACTTATTTTGTTTACAAATTACACCAAATTACACATTTCATAACTATACAGTAATATGTTGATGTAAGATGACCAGCTATATCAATGTAAGATTTTCTATTGGGTTAATGATGTGCCAGTGAAAACTAGTTGCATCACACCAAATCTTTGTGCATCTACTGAGATTCATATAGACTTAGAGGGCACACAAGTAACACCATAGTTATATCTATCTGTTAAAAACTAATTTCTTATATCAGACAAGTGACACTGATTCCTTCTTAGGAAAGGTTGGAATAGGAAATAGTAATACAATGTAACTCACCCCACTTTGATGTACATCTTCACTTTGTTCTCAGGACTTACTTTTGGTACATACTTACAAGCTTCTAGTCGGTTGTGGCGCTTCATACATGCTTCGACAAATGGCTAATCAATATAATTCAAATTATTATTTTACTAACTATATAACTGTAGAATTGAATTCACCTTTTTCCAAATCTTGAGGCCAATTTATAACCAAACAAGCAGCCTATCGGCTGAGATAGCTCCGCTGTTAGCAATGCACATTTCAATTAAAGAACTGAAGACATCATTAGAAAATGAACAATATGTATAGTATCAAAGCAATCGGACTTACAGTTTTTAACAAGAGGTCGAAAATATCACTTTCTATCAAAAATCACCAAAATATTCACCAAAATTAGAGAATTGAAGATATCATCACGAAATGAACAAATCTGAGAAAGGTCTACATGTAGTATCCATATGTGTAATATCAAAGCAATTGAACTTTTGGTTTTTAACAAGAAGTCAAAAATATCACTTTTTACCAAAAATTACAAAAATATTCACCAAAATTAGAGAATTGAAGATATCATCACAAAATGAACAAATCTGAGAGAGGTCCACATGTAGTACCTATATATGTAATATCAAGCAATCGGACTTGGTTTTTTACAAGAAGTCGAAAATATCACTTTTTACCAAAAATTACAAAAATATTCACCAAAATTAAAGAATCAAGATATCATCACGAAATGAACAATCTGAGTAAGTCTACATGTAGTATCTA